TTTTGATCCTGGCCCTCAGAAGTCTACATCTTGGGATGACTTCCCTGATGGCGTCTGGGTGGGCCTGGTGGCCCTTAGGTAGGAGAAGAGGCCCAGAGGTGTGCACTTAGCCCTGCAACAAGAGGCAGGCCTGGCGGTGTCCCATGTGAGCTACCACGTCGTATAGCTGAACCAGAACCCTCATGCCCGTCCGCAGGGAGCGCCCACACATCCCTCTCCCTTCCTGTGGCAGACCATAGAGCACTGGAAGCGTAACTGTAGCCTCGGTCCCTGGGCAACATCAGTCATTTGCACTTGTCTTCTAACCAAAGGTTGCTGGTTCTAATCCCCCCAGCAGCACTGGGGAAGAAAGGCCTGCTTCCTCACAGGCCAGAGAATCCTGTGGAGTAGTTCCACTCCGTAACCCTCCAGGTTGTCACGTGTCTGAATTGGCACGACAGCCAACAGGCGGTTGTTTTTGTTCACTCGAGAGAGCTCAAGGAGCTTGGGTGGCATTGTCTGGTAAGTGTTGGGCCTCTAACTGTAAGGTCGGCATTTCAAATCCACCAGCTGCTCCTCGGGAGGAGGACGAGGCTGTCTGTGTGTCTATAAAGATTTACAGTCTTAGAAACCATATCCAGGGCCGCATGGAGTCAGAATGGACGTTGTGGCAGTGGCTTTTGGTTTGGGGGCAGTTTGATTTTCCTTAGGGGATGTGAGAAGAGGGGATTAAGGGTTTTCTCTCATTTTAACTTTGCCCTATGGCTTCAGACTGTCACCCAGATACTGTTAGGCTTCAACAAAGCACGGCGGGGCTATCCAGTCAGGCCCAATGATTGCCTTAGGTTAAGGATGACTGAGCTTTTAAAAATAGTATTTCCTGTTCTTCCCTGCCCTGGCCCATGTTTTGTCTTACTCCTGTGCCCTTCTGATCACCCACTTGCTTCCAATTAGCGGGGCAGAAGCGAGGGCTGTCAGAGAAAATAACTCTCTCTCAACAAATTGTCCACCGCCATTGAGTTTATTCCAATTCATGCAACCTCAGTGTTGTACACACGGCTAAGTCGACACAGGGACCCTGGTGGCGCAGTGGGTTAAGTGTGGGGCTGCTAACGGAAAGGTCGGTGATTCAAATCCACCCCCGAATCCTCACTTTTAAGGCAACGCTTGGACTCCCGCAAAGCAGGAGACCCAGTGTCCATGCCTGGCCCTTACATCTCACGCACAGCCGCCACTCAGTCCCCGGTCCCTGGACGCGGCAACGCTGCCACGTTGTGGCATAGGTCTCAGCGGGGCTTCTAACGGAAGAGGGGGGAAATCCTGGTGACCGACAGCTGAAAATCCGCCAGTGAACACCCCGTGGACCAGAACGGCCGGCCGGCGGCCGACCCAGGGGACCCACAGGACGGGGGCAGCTTCTCTCTCCGCTGGGCATGGCTTGCCCCGAGTGCACAGCCACCTATGTCGGGTCCATTGGGAGGCAGCGCGGTGGGCACCGTGTCTGGAGCAGCTTGATGTGATCTGCCCTGCCATGCTTGGCACGGACTGAGCGTGGCTGGGGGGCAAGGGTGAGGGTGAGGGTGGGGGTGAGGGTGAGGGCGAGGGTGAGGTGCATGCCCTTCCCTTGGCCCTGGTCCCGGCTGCTCGTCTCTCTGATTTCCTGGCCGGCCATTCCTGCCGTGCCAGGCGGCTGAGCCCTGTGCCTGCTGTTCAAGTCTAGGCCGATTATTCCGCAGCCAGAACGAGAAACTCAACCTCGGGAGGGTGGACGGCTATTTCCCGCCAGAGCATCAAAGCGCCTTTACAATTTCCGGAGACAAGGTACGGCAGCCCATGCCCTGGAGTGCGGGCGTGACTGAGCTTTCTGAGCTCGACAGTGTGGCTTTGTTGTACCTCCCAGGTGATGGGGAAACTGGGCACGTCGCTGTCCAGTGGCCATGTGTTGCTGAATGGGGTCCGGATGCAAGTGCTCCTGGTGGGGGCTCCAACCCACGGTAGGTCATGGCTTCCCTTCTGTTCTGGTTGCACCCATGTCTGGGGCGGTGCACTGGCTTGGCTGTGTCTGGGGTCCAGGCTCATGGAGCCTGGCCATTCTGCACACTAGGGAGTGGGGTGCGTCCCGGAAAGAGATGTGAGCAGATACACTGCTGAGAGCATTTGATGATCCCAAATTCCCAGGGCTAAGAAAAGTACTTGGCTTCCTTATAGTCCTGCGGGTCTTTGATCACATGTCAAATGGGATCTGAATCAAATAGTGGTCACGAGGGCAGAGCCCTCCCTTTCTCTCCCCTTATTTGTCCTAAACGTGGACCATAATCCGTGGTCTCATTTGCATCCTCAGAGGGGTGGACTGTAAGGAAAGGGCAGAGACTTTTCATGTGCCTGAACCCTGCCTACTTCAACTCTGAGACTTGAAACACAACCCTTAGAAGATGAAATTATTCTAAAGGATGTAGGATACGTCTCTCCTTCACTAGACTGGTGAATATTAAAAATCTGGGAGTAATAATGGGAGAAAGACAGGGCTTTCTACTCCCACGTAAAGAGTTAGAGTCCCGGAACACAGGGGCAGTTCTACCTTGTCCTATAGCAGCAGTTCTTAACCTGTGGCTCTCGACCCCTTTGGGGGTTGAACCATCCTTTCACAGGGGTTGCCCGATTCATAACAGTAGCAAAATGACAGTGATGAAGTAGCAACGAAAATAATTTCATGGTTGGGGGTCACCACCACATGAAGACCTGTATGAAGGCATGCGGAAGGTTGAGATCCACTGCCCTGTAGAGTTGCTCTGAGTCAGGGCTGACTTGATGGCAGTGAACTTGGTTTTTGGGTTTGGGAGTCATCATCACATTTCTTCTCCCCCCCTTGGGACTACTTCTGAGAAATAGACTCCTGAATCACCCAAGTAGACATCAAAATAGGTGCTTAAAGAAGAGCAATAACAACAAACTGACCTACCTGAATTGCCGAACACGGCTTAGAAGGGCTTTTTGATCCTGGCCCTCAGAAGTCTACATCTTGGGATGACTTCCCTGATGGCGTCTGGGTGGGCCTGGTGGCCCTTAGGTAGGAGAAGAGGCCCAGAGGTGTGCACTTAGCCCTGCAACAAGAGGCAGGCCTGGCGGTGTCCCATGTGAGCTACCACGTCGTATAGCTGAACCAGAACCCTCATGCCCGTCCGCAGGGAGCGCCCACACATCCCTCTCCCTTCCTGTGGCAGACCATAGAGCACTGGAAGCGTAACTGTAGCCTCGGTCCCTGGGCAACATCAGTCATTTGCACTTGTCTTCTAACCAAAGGTTGCTGGTTCTAATCCCCCCAGCAGCACTGGGGAAGAAAGGCCTGCTTCCTCACAGGCCAGAGAATCCTGTGGAGTAGTTCCACTCCGTAACCCTCCAGGTTGTCACGTGTCTGAATTGGCACGACAGCCAACAGGCGGTTGTTTTTGTTCACTCGAGAGAGCTCAAGGAGCTTGGGTGGCATTGTCTGGTAAGTGTTGGGCCTCTAACTGTAAGGTCGGCATTTCAAATCCACCAGCTGCTCCTCGGGAGGAGGACGAGGCTGTCTGTGTGTCTATAAAGATTTACAGTCTTAGAAACCATATCCAGGGCCGCATGGAGTCAGAATGGACGTTGTGGCAGTGGCTTTTGGTTTGGGGGCAGTTTGATTTTCCTTAGGGGATGTGAGAAGAGGGGATTAAGGGTTTTCTCTCATTTTAACTTTGCCCTATGGCTTCAGACTGTCACCCAGATACTGTTAGGCTTCAACAAAGCACGGCGGGGCTATCCAGTCAGGCCCAATGATTGCCTTAGGTTAAGGATGACTGAGCTTTTAAAAATAGTATTTCCTGTTCTTCCCTGCCCTGGCCCATGTTTTGTCTTACTCCTGTGCCCTTCTGATCACCCACTTGCTTCCAATTAGCGGGGCAGAAGCGAGGGCTGTCAGAGAAAATAACTCTCTCTCAACAAATTGTCCACCGCCATTGAGTTTATTCCAATTCATGCAACCTCAGTGTTGTACACACGGCTAAGTCGACACAGGGACCCTGGTGGCGCAGTGGGTTAAGTGTGGGGCTGCTAACGGAAAGGTCGGTGATTCAAATCCACCCCCTCAGGAGAAAGCTCAGGCTGTCGGTTCCGATAAAGATTTAGTCTTGGAAACCCTAGCTCAGTGTTTCCCAATTGGGTGACACCCTCCCCTGGGTGGCACTGGAAGGGTCCAGGGGGCCTGCAAAAGCTAAGCCCTACGATTGGTCCTGGATTGTGGGCTACAGTAGAAAACCTTTGCATTGCCAGGAGGCGCTGGTTAATGTTTTTTCCTGAAATGGGGCGGGCGAGGGGCTCCTTGGGGGCCCTAACCTCTCTCTGAATTAGCAAGCACTTGGTGGCAATGGGCCAGTGTGAAGCGACTGTCCTGCGTGCTTCAGAGTGGCCTGCACTTCTCATAAAGCACAAAGCGAGCATTCGGGTCGACCTCTTCCCTTTAGTCCTGTGGGGCCGACAAGACTTTCCAGAGTTACCACTTCGGCTCGTTTCAGATGACGTGTCGAAGATGGCGTTCCTGACCATGACCTTGCACCAAGGTGGAACCACTCGGATGTATGCTTTAACGCTGGATTCGCAGCCTGCTCTGCTCAGCACCTTCAGCGGGGACCGCCGCTACTCTCGCTTTGGTGGAGTTCTGCACCTGAGTGACCTGGATCAGGATGGCTTAGGTAGGAAAGGTGTCCTCAAATAGATCACCTCCTTAGTTAGATCAGCTAAGCTCTGCCCACGTGGTTGACGGGCCCAGTGGCCCGAGTGATGTTCGGTACCTTTCGGATCACAAAAGATCAGCTCTGGAGGTACAGGAAGCGTCAACACCTGAAGATGCCAACACTTGTCTCCCGTACCATCACCTCTACTCGTCTGTCCGTTGGTCTTGGGCATCCCTTTGATGTTGGAAGCTATGTTATTTCTAGCTCCAGGGTGGACACGTTTCAGTGGAGCTTCCGGATTAAGACAAACTAGGAAGAAAGGCCTGTTTCCAGATCTAGTTCCAAAAATCAGCCAATGAGAACCCCACTCACAATCATTGTCCAACATGTGGACAAAGTGGTCACAACAGTGGTCACAGCCGGGGCTTGTGAAGACGGCGCAGGACCGGGCCACATTGTGTTCTATTACAGGACAGCACAGGGATCTCCCGAGTCGCATCTGACTCGATAGCAACTAACAATTACAACAGCCCGAACACGCAGGGGCCCTCGGGGGCTCCGTGACAGTTGTTGTTGATGGACGATGACGTAGAAAACAAGGCTTTTTGACTCTGCCCAGGTGCACGCTTTGCAGTGTAGACTTCGACACAGTCATACCACGTGTGGGGAGGTTGACTTCACATTCCATGCTGGCGCAAGGAAGGTGATGCCTGTCTCTTGTTCACAGATGAGATCATCATGGCGGCTCCGCTGAGGATAGCTGATATCACCTCTGGACTGATGGGAGGGGAGGATGGCCGTGTGTACATCTATAACGGCAAGCACACCACCCTCGGCGACATGACAGGCAAATGCAAATCCTGGATGACTCCATGTCCGGAGGAAAAGGTACCGTGTCGTCCTAGAGTCTAGGATCTAGGACCTAGAAAATTCTACATTGTATGCCAAAGGACCGCTTGCTATGCACTGTGTCTGCTGTCAACCTCTTACACGTTTCCCCTGAGCCCAGGGGGTCAGGACCTAGTCACCTGACTTTGTCTGGGGGGGGTCTAACCACCTGTGCCCTTGCAGTGCTATTACTGAGGGCAGTTGGACGCAGCGTCGTTTTGGTCCCTGGGCATGAACCCAAGGAGAAGAAAGAAAGAAGGTGGCCACACCCAGTAGAGGTTCATTAACATGTCCACCCCTGGGTTTCCTACTCCGTGGTTTACATTAGTCCCCCTCTCAGGTAGATTCCCTTAGGTGTCCTGGACCCACGACACTTGGCTATGATTATTATTATTGGTGTTTGGGGTGGGGGGGTCACTGTTTTATCAGACTTAAAAGAGATTAGCTTTTAATTGCAAAATTAATGACATTTTACTGTGAACATGAAAAGAAAATGAAAAACCCTTTACCCAAAAAACCTCCCAAAAAAACACACAAAATCATCTATGCAGAACTCAGTATATGATGATAATGAGGGTTAACCTCTTGATGTGAATATCTCTGGCCTTTTTTTTTCTATGAATTTAATTGGCACCATTTACTGTGTGTTTGAGCATCCCTGGGGTGCAGCGGCTGTGCCCGCGCCTGTGAGCCAAATGGTCGACTGCTTGAACCAAAGCCTCCCCTCTAGCGATAGACTCCCCCAAAGACCGACCGCAGTTGAGGAAACCCCACGGGGCACGTCTACTCTGCTTTGAGCCCATTTGAGATTATTTAACAACAGCGTGCCCTTGACACTGTGCCCAGCACCGTACCCAACACTCTATAGACCTTCAAGCCACACATTGGCTGGCCACTTACAGATAAGAGACTGAAAGCCGAGAGGTCATTAGTCCAAAGACACCCTGCTGAGAAATGGTAGACTGAAGACTGGAGTCAAGGTCTGATTCTGAAGCTCACTCTTGGCCACTACTATGAGTGTGCATAGTGCTATTACCAATTAGGATCATCTCTTCATGATTTCGCTCACAATTTTATAACCTCTCTATGTCACCCTGAATTCTTATACACTATGATACTTGTGGCCTGCTAAGCATTTTATACAGAGACAAAGCATGCTTTAAACATTTTTAAGTGACTTTTATCAGTCACTTTGCCATTTTAATTTTCGTTCTTCTAAATAATGATGTGGTGGGGTGGGGAGGGGGAGGAAGGGGGAACGGATAGCAGAAAGGTGGGTGAATGGAGACAACGCAAAGTGTGAGACGTGAATTAACAACAATAATGTATAATTGATCAGGGTTTCATGAGGATGGGGGAGGGGAAAAAGAGGAGCTGATCCCGAGGGCTCAAGTAGAAAGAAAATGCTTTGGAAATGTTGATGGCAACGTATGTACAAGTGTGCTCAATGCAATCGTATGATGGATTGTTATAAGATTGGTAAGCGCCCTCAATACAATGATTAATTAAAACATAATAATGATATGGTGTATGAGCCCCTAATAAAATGTTAAAAAAAAGAAAAATAAATAAATAAATAAAAAAACATAATAATGATATGGTGAATCTGTAAGTATAAAATCCAAACCCTTTGCCACTGAGTCATACCGATTCATACGGACCCTAAAAGAGAGAGTGGAACTGTCCCTGGTGGTCCCCAAGATGTTTCATCTTTGTGGGAGCCGAGCACCTTCTCTTTCTTTGGGGGATCAGCTGGTGGGTTTGCCTGCTGACTTTGAGGTTGGCAGTGGAACCCCCAGAGCCAGCAGGGCCTCTGGCCGACACACAGACATTGTTATAATATCTGATTTTTTTTTTCTGAGCTAAATTCGTAAAAGTGACACTTCTGGAGTCAAGGGGCACACTTTTTTTTGGCACACTTTTTTTTTTAAAGGTTATTTGGGAAATACAGAAAAATAGACACGCTAACATCAGAGTGTAATGAAAATTAGTTTAAAACACACATTAATCATCTCTCCTGCCCTCTCCCCTCTTTTCTTTCAGGCCCAATACGTATTGGTTTCCCCTGAAGTAAGTACCTCCTCTAGGGTTCAAAAGTGAGGCATGGTAAGACCTGCCCGGCCCCTGGGTCGTTTAAGCTGGTCTGTTGCTATGGTAACAGGCCCTGACAGACCCTCTGTTTCACAGGCCAGCTCGCGGTTTGGGAGCTCCATGGTCACTGTGGGGTCCAAGGCGAAGGTGAGTGCCAGGGCGACCGCCCTTCTCTGAGGCTCGGATTTGCTCTAAGGCTGGGCTTTGCTTTTTATGTCTTAGGTAGTCCTTTCTTTTGGGAAACAAAGACACAATCTTCTCTCCGCCCCTCCAACTTTGTCCGCAACCCTTAGCCATTCTCAGGCAGCTCACTCACTCACTGACATCCAGGTCGTTCTGACTCCACGTGGCTCTGTAGAACGGACCCTGTCAGTTCCCAGACTTTAACTTTTGGGGAGTCGGAAGCCCCATCTTTCTCCAGTGGAGAGGCTTATGGTTTAATCCACTGACGTGGCAGTTAGCAGCCCAGTGCTCATCGGACAGTGCAACCAGGGCCCCATCTCCTCTGTGCACAGATTGGCAAACTGCAGTCCTCAAGCCAAATCGTCGGCTGCCTGTGTGTGCAGCCCATGAATTCAAAATGGTTGCTGCATTTTTAAACCGTTGATAAATCCCCAAGAAGTCTGCTTCATGACCTGTGCCATTCACATTTAGTCCATATTTCAGGGTTCGTGAATAAACTTGGATTGGAGCCTAGCCATGCTCATTCATTCCTGTCCTCCCAGTGGCTATCAGGGCATAATGGCAGGGTTGAAACTGTGTCACACAACCCTAAACATACTTACTATTTGACTTATCACAGAAAAAGTTTGCCAACACTGGCCCCATTGCTAATACTTTAGTGCAGGAGTCCTCAAACTACGGCCCGCTGAGGACATATATCCAGCCCGTCGGGTGTTTTTGCCGTTTTGGGTTTTTTTACTTTAAAATAAGATATGTGCAGTGTGCATAGGAATTTGTTCATAGTTTTTTAAAACTATAGTCTGGCCCTCCAACGGGTCTGAGGGTCAGTGAACTGGCCCCCTATTTGAAAAGTTTGAGAACCCCTGCTCTAGTGTGTTTTATTTCAGACTTTTCTCCCAGAGTTTTTCTGACTCTATATACACATGACACATGACACCCCCCCCACACACACACACTTTATTTCTACTTGTCATTGTTTTATTTTAGTGCACTGTATTATGCCTCTTTCCAGATAAGAGCATCTAGAGCTACTTGATTCTTTTTATTGGCTGCATCAGGTTTTGTTGTCTTGGTGTATCATTGTATTTCATGGGTTCACACTCTAATAGGCATTTAGGTTGTTTTCACTGTGAAAGTTTTTACTACTACAGACAACCCTATAGCGAAAAGCCTTACATCTGTATCATTACGTACTTGTGCAAACATCCTTTTAGGTCATATTTCTAGAGGTAAGATTGCTAGATCAAAGGAAGGGCATATTCTAGGTTTCCATAGCTGCTGCACATTCAAGGATTTTTATATTAAAACTATTCCTGTAAATTACTATTTCCATTATAAATCAAACCGTGAAACATTCATTTATTTTATGATTTTGTATAGAGCCATGCTAGTCTGTCTATAAGAAATATAAAGCAGTGGTTCTCAACCTTCCTAATGCTGTGGCCCTTTAATACAATTGCTCATGTTGTGGTGACCCCACAACCGTAAAATTATTTTCATTGCTACTTCATAACTGTAATTTTGCTATTGTAATGAATTGGGCAACCCCTGTGAAAGGGTTATTCGACCCCCAAAGGGGTTGAGAACTGCTGATCTAAAGAAACGGACGATAAAGATTTTGCACTTGAGGGAAACTAAGATTTATACACATGGGAAATTAAATGAAATGCAAATCAGAATAGGATTAAAGGTGAAAGCAAATGAAGGACTGGGAAGCCCTTCTACATTTAGAATGTGGTACACAGGTTGTTAGGGGTGCAGCAGTGTTTTCCTGTAAAATTCTCGCTTCCCATGTGGGAGACTTAGGTTGGATGCCTGGCCAATGCATCTCAAATGTAGACACCACCCATCTGTCCGTGGGGGCTTGCATATTGCCACGACAGGTTTCAGCAAAGCTACCAGACTAGGAAGACAGACTAAGAAGAAAAGTCTGGAGAGTGGATTCTGAAAGCCCCTGGGATCCAGGATCCCATCCGGTGCACAGGGCCCCTGTGAGTTAGGGGCGGCTCTTGATGACCGCAGAAAAACAAGCAGGTTGAGAGGACTTGGGAAGTGCTCTAGCGCCCCCTGGTGACAGAGCGGTTAAGCGCACACAGCAGTGGGAATGCACCCACCAGCTGGTCAGAAGAAGGATGTAGCAGTTGCCATTCATCGAGATGACAACCTGGGAACCAGCTCCTCTGTCTTCGATGTTCCTTGTCAGCTGGAATTGACTTGCTGGCAATGGATTTGGTGGGTTAGGAAGTGTCCCGGAATGGGCTCCAACCACTGAATTGTGGTAAAAAGTGTCCTCTAGGGGCCCTTCTTTTAGTTGACTTCTGCTTTGACTCATTTATTTACCAGATAGCAAGACTCTACGGATTAACCACACCTAAAACTCCACTGCTATCGAGTGAACCTGTAAGACGGAGTAGAACTGCCCCAGGGTTTTTCCAAGGTTATACATATTTACAGAAGCAGACTGCTTCATCCTTCCCCCCACAGGAGCTGGTGGGTTTAAAGAGCCAACCTATGGTTAGTGAAGACTTAAAACCTCTGTGCCACCAGGTCTTCCAACAGCAACTAAATTGGATTACTAAGTAATATTACTATATATTAGTAATGTGCTTAATATTACAAGCTTTCCTTACATTAAAAATTTTAATTTTCCAAAAGTTAGACATTATTAAGGCCCCATGTACTGTGTAAAAAATTATTCATGGATCCAATAGAATATATGCTGATTGCGGAAATAGGGGTACAAATTCACCCCCCTAATTACAACTCCCTTGGGCTGATATGAACTGAGAGTATGTGCCCCAAAGCATCAAGCACCAAGATTTTGTATCAGATCTTTTATTGTTTTCCATGTACAGTGACCCTATAGGACAGGGTGAGTTACCAGTGCAGTTTCTGAAACTGTAACTCTTTATGGGGGCCGAAAGCCCTGTCTTGTTTCCTTTGGAAAACCTGGAGGTTTTGAACTGCTGACCTTAGGGTTCGCGGACCAACACATCACCACTATGCCACCAGGGCTCCTGTGGTCAGCATCAACTTGATAGCAGTGATTATATATATATATATATGGGGAGGGTCCATCCCATCAGGATTTTTTACTGGAATTTGAGTCAAAGGTTGTTTTCAAAAAGAGTCCTTTGATTTCTGGGATACACAAACATTCAGTATGTGAAACTGTTAACAAACTAGAAGGAGAACTTGGCCCTTCATTCACTGGGGCTGCTATCTATCATGAGGTTGCTTAGAACCAGCCTCTGACCTCACCAAGTAGTAACTGGTGAGCATGTGGTCGACTGGGCAGCAGGGGTTAGATACCAGGGATATGATACTGCCCCGGCCACTCTCCCAGCCTGACGCCAACTCATGCCCATATATTCAACAGGTGGTGACCGAGGGCCAAGGGAGGCCAGAACCAACTGCTGTGGAAATCGATACTGGGCACTTGGGGAGGGTGGGAGCGCATGGCGACCTGGAGAGACGAACAGACTGAAGAGGCAGGGAGAGGGGGAGAAGTGGAGGAGGGTTTGATTCTAGGAAGACTAAAGGAGCCCAGAATATTTCGAGGAGCAGGGGCAGTGGGAGGTGGCCACACCTTGGGCTTCAATGCACGAGGTCAGCATTTCAAAACCGCCAGCTGCCTCAAGACGAGGGAGCCAGGCCAGACTTCCTCCTCCCGTAAAGACTTAGTCTCGGAAACCACAGGGGCTGCTCTACCCTGTCCTTTTGGGTCCCTGTGAGTCAGCATCAACTCCCTGGCAGGGAGCTTGGTTTGGGGTTTTAGTGGTGTGACTAGGAGCCCTGGTGGAATAGTGGTTACTTATTGGACGACTAACCCTAGGTCAGCAGTTCAAAACCACCAGCTACTCCATGAGAGAAAGGGAGGGCTTTCTACTATCCTAAATAGGTAGTCTCTGAAACTCACAGGGGCAGTTCTACCCTGTCCTGTAGGGACAGTCACTATAAGTCGGCCTTGTCTTGATGGCAACATGGTTTTTGGTTTGTTTGTTTTGTTTGTTTTTTAATGGAGAGGAGAGTAGCTTATGGCCAAACTCCAGGCACTTTTAATAAGTGAGTCGTTCTATAAATAAGAAAGGGAGAAGAAACTACTCTTTGGCTCTTATTTTTCCAAAGGCGAGTCTAGATTCCTGGTGCATTAAGAAATGACCCAAAAGACTACGTGTCTGACACGCAGTAAAGGCTCAATACGAGGGGCCTTGAGAAAGTCCATGGGAAAGCAAATGGAAAGGTCATGGGACTTTCTGATGAACTGTTCGAAAACCCCTGTCCATGTTATCCAATAGCGTTTCTCAAGTCCACTGATTCAGAACTGAATCCAGGAGAATCTGTCCTCAGAAGGCTGGTCCCTGCTTCACCGTCAGGTCCTACTTGTGACCCAAACAGTTGGATGACTCACCAGCTTTGGTTCAGAAGAACTTTTGGCAAGTTTCAAGCATCAAGCCCAGCTTCACCATCTGAAGATTTGCCACCGTTCACGTATTCCAAACATGTAGCAGATTTCAAGACCATTCTGAAAGGCGGCTCCCAGAATGTTTCAAGCAGCAGGGCTGGTGTTAAGCACCGGTGGAGAAACCAGCCCCCTTGTGGAAGCCTGGTATTGCAGACAACGTGGCTGTGCCCCGTCACAATAGCATTCTGGAGTAGGCACCTGGCAATGTCCTTGGCGGCTTATGTGAGTGACAGAGGAGGGAGTCAGTTCCTCAGTGGCATTTTCTGAACCTATAGCTCTGAGAAAGCGGTATTTCAACAGAAGGGAAGAGCCCTGGGGGGTGGGGGTGGGGCGCTCTATTCAATGTCGTTCCCATCCTCTATCTTTAAGATGGACCGGGATGTCTAGATTATGGTCAGAATTTAACCGGTGCTAGGAATGAATGGTGACATGTGTCTGCATTGTGTCCTCCCAACAGAACCAAGTTGTCATTGCTGCTGGAAGGAGTTCTTTGGGAGCCCGGCTCTCTGGGGCGCTTCACGTCTATAACCTTGGCCCAGAGTAGCTTCTGCTGTTCCCCTCATCGCGCCTCCCCTCCCCCCTTCTCTATGCTGTGTCTTCTCCAGCCAGAGTTCTGGTGGACAAAGTAGCACCCCCTGCCCCACCGGTATAGTGATGGTAGGTCCCAGCACCGGTGGGGTGTCTGAAAGCCAGGTGATGTGGACATCTGACTTTTCTTTGATGACACCACAGGGGTGTGAAATGAGACGATTCTCTGGTCACTTCTTTTGCAACCGAGCCTTTCCTTTCTCCGCTGAAGTATGTACTACCTGTGCTCAGATCTGCTGAGCCACCTGTTTCCCTGCACGGCAGGCAGAAATAACATCAGGAGGTTGAGAAGCAGCACAGTGAGGAGAATGTGTGGGGATGAAAAACTCACATAATTTATAATGGTTTTGAATGAGGCTGCCATTAATCGGGGGTATGAATAATGTCTTCTATAGTGCAGGATACACGTAATAAAGACATAGACCTTGGTTTCAAGTGCTTCTGCGGACATGACCCGACAGGACAGCTACTAGAATCCAGTGACTTCCCAGGAGCTCTGAGCCATCCCAAGAAGGGTGTTTGTTGCCTCCGGTGCCCTGGGCTAAAGGCTTCTCGCTGGGTGAGGGCCCTGGGCTGTGAAGCAGGGTGCGGCCTCACCGTGCCCGGGCTGCCTTAGTGGCTGCATTCCATTTGCCAGTCCTGCACGTTTAACGAAAAGGCATGTGTCAAGTTTATGAATAACTTTGTCCATGCACACAGCCAACGTTTGCACTGTCTGCAGAGGTGAGAACAATCAAATGGAAAAAAGAGAGGGCCTACCGTTTCCCCGAAAATAAGACAGTGTGTTATATTAATTTTTGCTCCCAACGATGCGCTAGGTCCTATTTTCAGGGGATCTTATTTTTCCATGAAGAATATGGTACACATTTATTGTTTTATTAAGAGACCTTGCACTTCCTGTCTGCTCCCGCTGCGCAGCAGCCAACAGGGAGCTGTGCAGCAGTGTCCGCCGCTACAGTCCAGAGTTACAGTAGTTTCGGGGGGGGGGGGCCTTATTTTTGGGGAGGTCTTATTTTCAGGGGGATACCTTACATTTCAGCAAGAGGCAAAACTGTAAGTAGGCGTTATTTTCGGGGGATGTCTTACTTTCAGGGAAACAGGGTAGCTGGTTTTGTACCCAGAAGAGCATGTCCTCTCTCTGACATTAGGGAGTTGATGGCAAGAGCAGAATAGCAAGGACAAGCCCCGCTCTCTCAGCATCTCCAGGAGCAGTGGAAGGATCTGGCTGAAAGGAAGTGGTCAAGTGAGGCATCAAGCGCGAGCTCCTGGGTTCAAGTTGTGAGCATAACTGGTTCTCTACAGGAACCACCTGAATAGGCCGTTTGGCTAGCACCTCTGGATCCCTTGTGGGACGGTCTCATCTCTCTTTACCCTAGACAGGGTGTTACCTAAATGGCTCATTCTAGCACAGCAAAAGGAGGGCGGAAAAGCACACCTAGGGACAGGATTATGTTCAATTAAGAGGACGTTTATTTTTGGGGTACCCAACATTATTTAACTGCACTCACTGTGTTGTGAAGTCCGAGTGTTGAAGCGATGACACTGACATTGTGTTTTTTGTTTTTTTTCTTTTTTAACATTTTATTAGGGGCTCATACAACTGTTATCCCAATCCATACACACATCAATTTTGTAAAGCGCATTTTTACATCGTTTCTCAAAACATTTTCTCTCCATTTAAACCCCCGACATTAGGTGACATTGTGTTTTAATAAAGGCGCTTCTGATACTGAACCCATGAGAAGGGTGTCTCCTTTCATCTGTTACTGCACTTCACCAAGAGGAGCTCTGTCTGATACTTTCAGGCTTCGAGGCTGTTGAAGAGCAGTGGCCACACACACCTACAGTCGAAGGTCAACTCTAGGGCGGGTAACCTGGCAGGGAGTAAAAATAAGCCCGTGCCAGGCTATGTGTTACCTTGTTACGTGGATCGTTCACTCTACCAAGTGTTACCCAGTGAGTCTAACATGCTCAACAATAAATGGACCGCCTAGGAGGGTTAGAATGTTTCACTAACATGAAACTGAACATACACCAGTGTGACTCAAAGTGATCTTTATTTCAAGGTAGAAAACATTTACATATTTGTCTTGTCTTCCTACCTCGTGTAGACACATCACATTACTTATGTAATTTGTAGCACAGCCCTAAGAAATTAAATGTGCTCTGAGGTAACCTTGGGAGTAGAATTTTAGGTCTCTGGATTCCCTGCTCCGTGCACTATCAGTTAGTCAGTCTGTGCGTACTACTAACACAGGGAAAGAAATCCCAATTTCAAAATCCTGCATATTAATTGTAATTTGAGAAAGTGAAACCCCACTCCAAACCAAGCCGACTGGCCTGCCCCAGGGGTTTCCAAGGCTGTAACCCTTGGTGGCAGCCGAGGGCCCCGTGGCTGTTCCTCTGGGGCTCCCAGCTTGAGCCCAGGGCTCCTTCCAGAAACTGAGAAGCTGTACCACCTCTGGAAGCGCCCACAGGAACAGCCCTTTAATATGGAATTGTTTCGTGGTCCTCACAGTCTAATTTTCCAAGAGTGACTCATGGTGTGTGTTGTGCCATGTTAGACCTTCCGAAGACAAAGCGCCCGTCATGCTTGCACATGGGAGATGATCGCTTGCTTACTAACGAGACCAGGCATTTATACTCATCACCTTATTTTAAATAGTGTGCTCAGTCTACTTTAATTCAAAATCCTAAAGCACTGGGGAGTGCAGAATGGAAACCCAAAGCTCATCTGTAGGCAACTGTAGATCCTCGTACAGAAGGGTCGCAGGGAGATGAGGCACTGAGGGTGCAGTACAGCACCAATGAAGCCTACAACTTTCCTCTAGTTCTTTAATGCTTCCTCCCCGCCCCCACTATCATGATCCCAATTCTACCTTAGAAATCTGTGGGGGAGGCCAACCCCTCACACTATCACGGATTCAGTAAGCACAATTGTGCGGTTAAAATACAAAGTCACACAGAAATAGGAGAGATGGGGAGAGTAAAATAAAAATGTCAGACACATTTCATGGTGGCATGCTCACGTGGAGATAGGAGATGAAAGGTCAGGAGTGAGTGATTTATTACTAACCAAGGCTTTTCTCTTGGGGGCATGCAAGCCCCCTGCTTACAGGGAAAGACATATGTCACAGGCAGGAGCTGTACCATAGGTAATACAGTAATGAAAGGGGGACGATCCAGGGGTAGACATGCAATAAGAAGGGGAGGAATTGGAGGCACACATGTGACAAAATGGGCGGATCCCAGATTCATGAGGGTGGTCTAACCTTGCTTGCCCTTGAGCTGGAGCCTTGATTTAGTCTAAGCTTTCAGGGGAAGCAATCCACTGTCCCTAATAGAAGGGAGTGAGCCCCACCTATGGTGGCACAGACAATAGGGTCTGCTTGCTCTGGATGGCTGATGCCTTCAGGGAATAGCTTGACAATCATTTACTATGAGGTGCAAGCAGTGTCCTAGGTCTGACATATATATATATATATATATATATATATATATACACATATATAATTTGGGGGAAACGAGCTGGGGAACAGTCTTCATATACCCCACAAATCCGGCTAGGCCAGAGCATGTACATGGGTACAGATCAGAGCTGGAAACACAGGGAATCCAGGACAGATAAACCCCTCAGGACCAATAATGAGTAGCCATATCAGGAGGTTAAGGGGAAGGTGGGGGAGAAAGGGGGGAACTGATCACAATGATCTACATACATATAACCCCCCTCCCCGGGGGATGGACACCAGAGAAATAGGTAAAGGGAGACATCGGGCAGTGTAAGACATGAAAAAAATAATTTACAAATTATCAAGGGTTTGTGAGGGAGGGAGGGTTGGGGAGGGTAAAATGAGGCGCTGATAGCAAGGGCTCAAGTAGAAAGTTTTGAGAATGATGACGTCAACAGATGCACAAATGTGCTTGATACAATGGATGTAAGGATTGTGATGAGTTGTACGACCCCAATAAAATAATTAAAAAAACATCTTAAAGCACTGAAGTCCACTTTTCTTTGGCATAGGCTGTTCTATCACTTAAGGGAACTTTTGTGCGGGAAGCACTTTGCAATTAAGGCAGCCCTAGCTAGTATCTGAAATCATACTCACTCTAACTGCCTCGCCTCCAGGAACATAAGCTATTAGTAAGTTCCCTTACCAGACTTGTGTGGTAGTTATTTTACCTCATACTGATGGGATGGGGCAGCAACAGAATTTTCACCCAAACGCCTAACATTAAATAAGGAAAAAAAAGATTGAACACTCTCCCCACGCCCCCAAAAAAGACCAAAGTTATTTTCTATGCTTGGGGTTAGTCAAATTGGATTTTACCTAATGAGATTCCATTTCTTTATGTCACAATGAAATATTCTTGGTGACAACACAAAAATCCTAGCATGCTACTGGCATGCGTGTGCCAGGGATCAAAGTACCCCCTCCAAGATCTCCTGAAGTGGGAGCGCCGAGATCCCAGACACACTCGGCCTCTTTCTAGTCTCCTCGTCCTTCTTCAAGCCAGAGTGTAGAAAACCTTACTTGTAAGGTTATTTTTCTTCTTGCAAATCAGCGACTGCAATCGTGCGTTTATTCCTTATTACCAAGCCACCTGGTAAGTGGACCCTTCCTCCACAAGACCGACTTCCTTCCTCAGCAGGAAGGCATAGTTAGGGCTAGGCATCATCGCCAGCACATGTGCAGTGCAAGGGCTTCCCTCTATTCTCGCTGGCCCTCTGGAACCTTCCGTGCGTGCTGCTCTTGGCGGCGAGCTGAAGTGTGATGTTGTACTGCGCCACCACACCGGAGGCGCCTCACATTTTAAAGCAGCAGCACTGCGGCTTTCAGACTCATGAAGGTTAGCCACTTAAAAATCCCAAGCCTGACTGCAAACTGAGAGGCATCACAAGTGTACAATTTGCTACCCTCTTGTGTTAGGGAGCCCCTCTGGCTGTCACCTTTGGGTTGCAGGCATATACCTTGACTGAGTGACATGGCATTTCCTTTCTGGGGAGTGGGCTGACACCTCCATATGCTCTAAGAAACCAGGCAAGGAACAAAGGAATTGTGAACACAGTAGCCAAATGGAAACACCCGTTTTGCCTTTATTGTCAAAGGCTGTCATTATAGCCAAGCAAAGAATCTGGATTAATTGGAATCCAAGTAATACCAGAATAAAATGATTTCCCTTTTATCCACCTTACATAAAGACGGGCACATACAAGACATTATGGTTATGTCAAGATTAACTTAAAGCACACACTCCAGTGTTTAAGGTTAATTCATATTCTGTTAGCTTGCTGCCACCCGAGAGTAAGGATGTTCACGATTCTCTACACCAAGAGTTTATCGGCTCTTAGAACTGTGGGCTTGTCAAGTTTATAGGCTTTTTTGCTTGGCATGAGATTACTCCTTTTTTTTTCCCATATGAATAAATTAAGTAAAATATATAAAAATCTGTTTTTGTGTGTTAACCTCATTCGGCCACATGTAATGCCTACAAAAATGGCCTAAACTTAGAGGCAATTGGATCTTGGTCTTTTATAAAGCAAGCAGTTTGCTTTTTAGATTTCTGAGGATGCCATTAAGTTTTCTGGGTTTTTTTTTTGGCTTTCAGACAATAAAGATCATTCTAATATCAGTGGTATATTTTTTCAATTTTTAAAATAAAAATTAAAGTGTCAGAAGTTTCTTGTGATGCTCATAAAAAAAAAAATTTTTTTTTTTTCATTCTCTCTCGTGTGTTCCTAACGGTTTGTCAGGAGGTTCCCGCTTGATCCGAGTCCGTCCGGCCGGAGACTGGCTTTCACTTCCATCCTTCTATCGGCGCGAAGCGTCTTTTTAGGTAAAGAGGTCATCTACGAAAGCAGGAAAAGTTATTTTCGTTTGTGTCTTAAAAAGAAAAACCACTAGTCAATGGCGTTATGAAGGAAGGATCAAACATCACGAGTCAGCATCTGAAGCACTGACTCGGGTCTGATGTACAGGTACAAAGATAAGAGGAAGGAGCTATCTTCATGAGAGCAATACAAATGTTGCCAACCCTTCACTTCTGATTATGGAAACACCTTGCAACAGAATTGCCCGTATCTGTCTAGGTAGCTACCCCTGTCAGTGTTCCACACACAGTCAGCTCTGCTTCCAATCTACTTGGTGTGCCAGGTTCACACACACCATCTCAGTTAGTTCTCCCAGCAACCATGCGGCAGTTGCTGCCGACTTAATTGACAGATGAGAAAACCAGAGGGGGAGCTCAGAGAAACAAAATGCTTTGCCCAAACCAAACCCACTGCCACTGACGGTTTCTGAGGCCGGAAACCGGAAGCAAACGGCCTCGTCGCGCTTGCTCAGAGCAGATCCGGCGAGTGGGTTTACACCACCGATGCCTCGGTTAGCAGGCCGATGCTTCCCCCATTGTGCCACCAGGGATCCTGCCGGGTCACCCAGACTGTCTAACTTCAGAGCCCATGACCACAATCCCTCTGCCACACGCCGCGAGCCACCGCCGTCATACCATTGCGGGCAACGGCACTTCAAGCTGGCGTCCCAGGAACGAGAGCAACCGCCTCCAGATCAGGCCGCTGCCCATGAACATGATCCCTGTGATCAGCCAGAACACTCGGTGGTCCTGAAACAGAGACACGGTTACTTTCTGCGCAAAAGGCTAGCTGCCTTAGTGACAGTATTTCCTGAATGACCAAGAGCCCAGGATTCACAAGAAACCCCCTGTCATCTGTACACACCTTTCCTACAGGAAGTACAAGTACCCTGCTGGCATCAGGGACCAACATCCGTAACACAAATCAGAAGGTAAACATAGTTACTAAGAGTTCATTTTTATTTTTTTTGAACCCCCTACAAGGCATACGTTTTAATAGGCATGCTGAGAAGATATACAACTACATTTTAAAAGCCTGCAAGTCCCAAAGTTGAGCTGAGGTGTCCTAGATACGTAAAAATTCCCGGGGAGACACAGCGACACCTGTGGGACACCATGAGAACTACTACCACTACGCTGTTCAGCCCCAAGGACTAGAACTCCGGGGCTAGTGCTGGCTGAAGGAGCCTGTGGAAACCTATTAAAGACATGCAGTGTATTAAGAACCAAAAAAGTCTTGGAAACTTTGACCTAGTGTGGTACACATTTTGTCCTACACTGGTTTTCAAAATTTTAATATTTTGCAGTGCAATGCTAATACGAGACCTCATCACATCAGTCCTTAAATTTAACTGCGAGAGGAAGGGAGCCTCAGCTACAACGATGCCCTGAGGTGGTCTGAGGTCCCACCTCCGCCCTTTGCCTGCTTAGCTTCAGCAAGTGAGAGCTGCTCACTTCCCCACCGTCACCTGTTACATAACTGACGAAAACCTCGTCCACATCCTGAGTATGAATCTACCACGCGCTAAGAGGAAAACAAGTGCTCGCAGGAAATACATGTTTTGGGATAGCCAATACATTTCCAGCTATGTAAAAGGATGGTCTTCAGGAAGTGACGAGTCCATAAAAAACGAGATCCCTGCTGCTCGTCCCTGTGGGCTGGTTCTGCAGGCCCCGGAAATCTGAAGTCTGGGGGTGTCAAGAGTCAGGAGTCTGAAGGACAAACACAACCCCAAATCCACGTGCCACTAAACACACACACTCAGCCCAGTGCGAGAACTCAGAGAGGTGGAGACTAATGTCCCCGCTGACGTGGCCATGCCCAACTGCATCACCTTTCTCATTTGGTGTTTGCTACCTATTTTTCACATTCCTGGTGCCCTTCATCTCCTCCGCTGTTTAGTTTACACACACCATCAAAGGAGGTTGTCTTTCCTGGAACACCATCAGGTGCTCCACACTCGGAAAGCCCTAGACTCTGATGGGGATGTGCCAAAGTACTCAGAGCCAGCATGAAGCAGGGACCACTGAGCACCAAAATAATGACAGTTAATAGACAGTAATTCACCAACTACATGAAGAATCCAGGAATCCATGTTGATATAAATGCACCAGGAGCAGACGGTGGGAAATAATGCTATGTTCTTCTTCATAACAGAATGCCAAATGAACAAGTGCAGCAGGAATGAAGGAATTACAAATTCATTTGGCAACCCCTATGGTAATAATTGGTTTAGGCAAAACCATCCATAAATACTGAAGCAGATTTAAATAATTTGAACAATGCATCCTCACCTCTTCAAGAGAAGATTCCAAATTCATTCCAAAAGCAACTCCCATTAGTCCAAAGAGTGAAAGAGAGAAGGTTCCCATGGTCAACTGTAAGTTCAACCTCATCATCACATTACGGTGGCTGGAGAGAGAAATAATGCACTCTGACTACGTATAGCAAACCCGCTAAATAATCTACTAAAGACCACTCGGATCAAATCCACATAATTAAACAACAACAACAGAGGGATAACCCATGTCTTAGTTATAGATTATAATGGCAGCATTATTCTTTCAAAAGTACAGTTCCTAACAGGCTTTATTTTTCTATGACTATTTTATAAAGAAAGCAATCAACGCCCTCTTACCTGTCCAGATTGATGAAAATAATACTCTGCGAATCATCAATCAGAACCCTAAGCTCCCGAGCGGAATTGGAAAGATCTTCCGCTAATCTATAGTAGTTCTCCAACAACAGCTCCATCTCTTCTGCGTGGTCGATTCCGGTACTGCTCTTTTCACTTAAAAAAGAAAAAAAAAAAGAGGTACCATTAGCACGCCTCCAACGTGTACACTACATATTTAGTATCGAAACACCTATTGAATTAGTATAATCTCTAGCCACCAGTGAAAAACAGTCTTTGGTATTTCTCTTGTGGTAACAAGCCAATTTAGTGAGCATTCTGTCAAGTGACCCTACACACTGCACTGACGGCTGAGGCCTGGGCTCCACTCCTGTAGAGAGAGGCCCCAAGCCTAGAGCCCCATGCCAGTCAACACAGGGGTGCAGATCTGAGCCACTACTAGGTACACTGAAATTTTTAAATGGACATCTTTTACCACGGTGTACTTATGAGGGCACTTTCAGAGAGGAAGAAAAATGCGTATGAAGGTCAGCACATGGTTATTTTTGTCCCCTTGACCCATGCCTCACTTCCTTGAGGTGGAGAAGGGACAACACAGCACTGTGTAAAAGACCTTTCTATCAGAAAGCGCATTTACAACAAGGTAGTGGAGGGGTGGGGAAGGGAGGGAAAAAAGAGCTGATACCAAGGGCTCAAGTAGAAAGAATATATTTTGAAAATGATGATGGCAACATATGTACAATTGATGTATGGGTTGTGATAAGAGCCCCCGATAAAATGATTTATAGATTAAAAAAGACAAAGTAATCAAGAGCTACAGCGTGTTCATGTTATGAAATCTATCTTCTATAATATCAATTCAATATTGTTTTTAATCTTTTCCCTTTATAGATGAAATTCATAGGCTATGGGAAGTATGCACATTATAGGATAGCAGGATTAATATCGGTCTACAGAGAGTGAAACCAAAATATTCTGGGTACTTAAAAAGGCAAATTTGTGCACGACGAAGAAGGTCCATTTCTTCCTTAAGAGATAAGAGGCGCACATGGTAGAAAGACAAGGCTTTCTACTTCGGTACAAAGTGAGTCTCAGAAACCTGCAAGAGCGGGCACTGTCTACGAGCCGGCACTGACTTGGTGGCAGAGTTTGGCTTTGGGAAAGGCATGTAAGGTTAGAGAAGTTCTTTTACAATCGACCCAAGGCACAGATCTTGTGCCCGCATCTTATCCACCCCCTACGGAACCCCGACTCTCCCGCACGGGCGTCTGTCTCCTCCTCGTTTTCCACTGTGCGCTCTAGGGACGCGTGCAGCTCGATGTGTTTGCACTAACACAGCCCAGTACGGCGTTGCGTATGCAGTCTCCCCTCCATGTGTCCTTGTGGGACCACAGAAATTAGCTGGAAAGTTCTAAACTCTTTTGTCTACGGGGTGTTCTGTTCATTCTGAAAGATCAACCTCTGGTAGAAACGACAGAGGACGCCCTGAAGGAAATTCGTTCCCAAGGTGGCAATGTCCTTACAAGACTTGTGGGTCACTCCACTTTGTCAGACACAGCTCCTCCAGCAGCTCCTCCTCATCCAGGATCTCCAACATGGACTCTTTGAAGATTTTAATGTCTGTTTCCAACTCGGATAAGCTGTAGTGGGGGCGGTACACAAGTGATAAATAGCATGCACTTACAAAAAACATTTCATCACCAGGGTAGCGCCTTTTTAAGGTATCTTGTCAAGCAGACAACTTACAGATTCAAAATAAAATGAATTCGTTAAAAAAATTAGATATTTAGCATGTAGATTACAAAAAGTAAGCCCAAAGTAAACCTACACCAAAAGAAACTAAGTAGCTGTGTCAATCAATTATCTAAGTTTCAGCTCATATTATTTACCTCAGAAACGCAATCACTGTGAGACTACGATTTCTTTTTGGTAAGGAAATTAATTTTTACTCTTAGCAAACATGGCATTCATAATGTACAGACACAGTATTTATTTTTAACTGTGGAAACACTGCAATATTTTTTGATGAGTAATGATTCATGAATCTTAACTCTTCATTTTTTTAAACATCAAAATGAAAATTTTAAAGTTCTGCCGAAGTTGAACACACAGCAAGTACACCAACTGAGCAGTTTCTACATGCGTAATTCAGCGGTGCTGATTACGTTCTGCAAAACGCACATTCTCATTCTCCTGAGTTGCTCCTCCCTCAGTGATATAACCTCGCTGCTCTCTCAGACGCCTAGCTAATCTTTCTAATTGTCGCTGTCAACTCAATCTCATCTAGCTCTTCAAAGAGCACAATGGGGAAAGCAGACAGCCTTTATTAACTAACTACTGTTTAGCTTGACAATTTACCGGATAGTTTTGGTTTAAGGTTGACAAATTACCTCAGGGCAATAGATCTGGGAGCATCCTGTCAGCTCTTAAAGAGACTTTAGGGGGAACAAATCTTGTTGATGAAATTATAACACAAATTAATTATAATACTGTTTTTAAATTATAGGATGGATGATTAGGAAAAAGCACATGGACTTGGAGGGGAGGACACTGGGCTTGAACATGCCTGGCTATGTGAGTTCAGACAGCTCTCTGTGCCCGTTGTCTCATCTGCGAATGAGGGCAACTTTTAAGTAGTTAAGAGAGCCTCAGAATGTTTTACTCCCATAAAGAGGTCCAGTCAGGGGGAGGGAGCACTCTCTAGAACTGATGCTGATACACAACTAATTTTAAAAGTGATTTAACCATAGGAGGAGGGGGTGTTCTCAAATTGATGGTGGTAAACAACTCTTCGTGTTATGAACTATAAAATGGTGTGACATGTGGATTAAATGACAATAAAACTGCTAAGAAAAACAAAGAGTTAGAGTCTTGGAAGCCCACAGGGCAGTTCAACCCAGTCCACAGGGCCACGATGAGTCAGAAGTGACTCGATGGCAGTTTGGTTTGCGTTTGGAGCACTGGTTTCTGTGTCCTTTGTAGTTCCAGTTCCTACCTGCACATGGCACGGAGAGCATACTGTGAAATCTGCCCTTCCATCAGCAGGGCTGTCGAGTATGTTTTATGACAGCTGTCCCTAAGCTACCAGCTGGTGAGCCAGTCATCCTTACCTTTTGCCATTTTGTAGTAAGATGTGCAGTTTGCTTCTGTCGACAGAAGAATGTTTGGGATCCACTAAAGCTTCCAATGTCTCATGGATCACTGGGTGCAAAATGTTAAGTTTCCCCTGAAGAGTGTTGATCTAGATAACAACATGACCTTTCATAAGAATTAAAACAACCCTTTTAGAATAGTTGGGGACAGGCAATTCTCTATCACAAGCAGATAGCCACAACAGCTAGAAATACTGGTGATATTTCACAACATGGCCACGGCGGGAATCCTAGTTCCAGACTACTGCAAACTAGCCCTCCTGGCTTCAAAGATAACCCCATATATGTTTTCATAAAGGCTTATATTTGGTTGACAGGGAATTAACGCTTACAAGTATCTTCCCCAACAGATATTCATCTCGCTTTCGGTAAAAAAATTCTGATACCGATGTACTTTATAGAAACAATATAGTTCACAATTCCTGCGGATGAAGTTCTTTTGAAAACCAAATTATAGCCTGGACTTTAAAAAACAAATTAGCATTAAGGCAAATGTTTTGTATTCGGGTGATATTCAGCAGGTATGCACTAGTAGAGCTATCCCGACACCAGTCCTAGTTGCTCCTGGGTTGGTTCTGACTCTTGACAATCCTGTGTCAGGACAGAACTGCACGCCACACGGTTTTCAAGGGCAGGTTTTTCCGAAGACAATGGCCAGGCGTTTCCTCTCAGGGGTCTCTAGGTGAACCTGAACTTTGAACCTTCTGGTCAGCAACTGAGAGTGAACTGTTCATCCCACTCAGGGACTCCAGTATAGCTTGACTGATGGCTAAAATAATTGATGGTAAAAACTCCAGCTTACACACTTATGTCAGAGTGACACAATTCCTATAAAAAGAAGATTTCTGTCTGGAGACGGGAGTACAGAATCAGGATGCTTCAGGTACCCTATTGTTGCTTTAAGTTTGGATGCCAAAGAGCTGGCTTTCAGCTTGGGGAGGGCAGGAACTGGGAAGCAGACCTCATTCTTCAGCATCCCAAGGAAATCTGCCATTCCAGGCCCAGCAAGGTATGGGCTCAGGCAGTGGGTGGAAGGCTGCCAACAAGAGTCATGGACATAGACAGATGTTCATGTGAGGCACACTCGTTCATTGTGGGCTTGAGTTTCCTTTTACTGGGAAGCTTACCCCCTGTCAGGGGTGTTGGTCCTTGTTCACTGTGTGGTGGTGGTGCTTCAGAAGGAAACCTTCCTGGATCTCCATTTAATGGCAAGAAGGTGCAGCCCGGTGGAGAGCCTCAAGCCCTCTCTTCTTCCCGTGGCCAACTTCTAGGCAGAAGAGAGCCACGCCAGCCCAGCCCCTCTCCTAACTTATCTGCTCCCTTACTGAAAGTTTTGCCAGCAGCACAAGGTGCTTACCCAGTATGCCACTACCCCCATATATACTTTTTCTCTTTCTTCTGCTTTTGCCTGGCTTAAGAACTGGGCTCTAATCATTCGCCATCTTACCGACTGGCTATTACCTAGTTAACCTAAGCAGGGCATGCGCATCCTCTAGTAGAGCAAGGCAGACAGAAGAAAAGGGTACGAGGGGACCCGAGCCCCAGGCCGTCATGACCTCCTCTCTCTTCCCCGTTTTGCTACTTTCAGCATCAGTTCTAACGTGCAGCCAGCTCCTAGCTAGTGGGGGAAGACAAGGGGATGAAGAGATCTCTGGGGGTTCGGAAAGCAGGACCTGACAGGCTCCCCAGACACCAGTACCTCTCAATGTAAGAGTCATCTGAAGAACTGTATGTATGCTCGACTATGTGAACCCACGTGGCAGACAAGGTCCTTTAACTGTCGCAACAAATATACGTTTATTTAGATGTACCGTAAAAATAAATTAACGAATGAACAATCTCAGAATAATTTGATGATTTGTGTGACAGCATTTATCATGTGCAAGTAGTTTTATAATATATACAATTTAAGACACTAAAATGGAATACATTGAAAAAATTTTTGATTTATATATTTAGGATACAAATTTTAAATGCAATTATTAAAACGAGAACAAAGTCAAGAAGATAACAGAAAACAAGCTCACCCAATATTGCAGGAGTGCTTCTATAGCTCTAAACTCAAAAGGTAAGGGGTACGTGACAAGCTGACCTTCTTCAGCCAACTGTGAAGGAAGTTCCCGGAATAGCCATTGCTCCAAGTTTAAATTACGGTAATCTAATATAAGAAGGCACTCTGGAGTGATCACAGCTTTCAGATACTGCAAAACCAGAAAACAAATGTGAGTGTGTGTGTGTGGGTGTGTATAGACACATCACACACACGCACACACACACAGTCATATGCAAGCTGTAAGAAAAAAGACTTCATAAAATAGGGTTTAAAGTTAAAATTTTTTAGATTAAGCTTAAACCAATGTAGAAGTCACCATCCATTTCAAAAAGATGAAGGCATGCATGTTTTAAAGAAAGGAAACCTAAAATAAAAGGGGGCTGAAAAATATTTATGGAAAGTGTGAATATCTTTTAGTTCAATTTTGCCAACTTTTCAAAGCCCTTTGCATATGTAACTCTCAAAATTTCACCAAAATCTGTTAAGCTATATTGAAATTATAAACATAAATCAATGCCTTATTGGCTTAGAAAGGGGTCAAATAATAAATTATTTGAAAGTGGAAGACTGGCATCTTTATGCTACTGGAGCCTAAAGTAGTAAGAACAATTTGTGGCTTTTATATGGGAAATTTTAATAGAGAAAAGTTGACCCTTTGAAGAAAGCCGGTCCCATGTTTACTCTGCAGAGCCATACCACCTGTGACGTCTCATCGACCTAAGTCCCATCAAAGCTCATGTCCTCAGTAGTTCTGAGCCTGGTGTACAGTACTCTGAACGCACAAGGGAAGGTAGAACACACTGTAAGAAAGCTTCCCACTAGAGCAGTATAGATACGAACTGGAAACACAGGGAATCCAGGGCGGATGATCCCTTCAGGACCAGTCCTGTGAGTGGCGATACTGGGAGGGTGGAGAGTGGGTAGAAAGGGGGAACCAATTACAAGGA